TGGTGCTTTTCCCATCACAGGTTTGGCCGCAGCTCCAGAGGGCAGGTTGTGCTGGAGGATCAGATGCATTCCCGTGACTGGGAGGCTGCCCCCGGTCAGATCTGGAGTATGGCCGTGCCCCAGAGATTTGGCAAGAAGTAATGTTGCAGTCATGCGGTGTTGCCCTGGTGGAAGGTCAAGCAGCCGAGAGTTATAAAGATACTAGATTTGTTCCAGCCCGTTAGGCTTGACCTTACACCTGGTGTCCAGTGAAAGATGACACTAGCTTAATCTTTCATGATTATGATTGTTGTTATTTTCTTTGAATTTCCAACACTGGGAAGCACGGTGACTGGTGATTGTTTGGATCGGCATGTTAAGGACTGAAAATGTTTGTTGTGAATTGTTAGTTGCTATGTTTTTGTTGTTCTTCCGTTCAAATAAAAGAACTTTAATCTTGTAATGCTAATTTCATGTGTATTTGTGTTCACTGTTAAAGAAAGGTGGGAACAAACAGATGTTGAAATTTTATAAATCCAGCTGTTGAGTTCATTTAAATATGGCCACTTAATCTGTTGCTAATCATGTTTTAGTTTGTGAAATGTGTGTAAAAATGGCCAATCCAAGTTTTCTCAAGCCAAGGTGAGATCTTAAAGTGTCCTGTTTGTCCAAATAAACTCTCAAATCCCCCAAAATCTTCCACTTAAATATATAATATGATAAATACAATAAAAAGGTTTGTATAGATGATTATAAATAAAATAGATAATGGTGAATTCTGCATTTTGGAAGCTATAACCAGCCAACACTTATTATTTTTATTGTAACTGTTTTATCAGCTCATAAACTAATAAATGAGCTTTTTTAGCCTAAAAAGCTTAAAATCATTTAGCTTATTTCAGCACTTAGCATTTTTTTGTTTGTTTTTTCTAATATCAGTCTTCCTTGTTTTTAAATCCCATCAGAGGACAAATGGTATATTTTTTGTTTGTTTGCAGGACGTTATTATATCTGCTGGATCTGCAGCCAGTACTCACATCAGCTCGGCCATAAACAAGAGCATAACTGAAATGTGTCTGTGCTGGTTCACATCAGGGGAATGTAAATGCAGTGGAGACCACACACAGAGAGACGAATGAAATACGATCGTAATGTAAGTATTTTTCATTTCTCTACAAACAGCACCGTGCGGGGGGTTAATGTAGTGAGATAAGGATGGAAATCCTGTGTTCAGTGTGCCGTGATGGTCAGCACTTCTCTGTGTCTGTGGCTTATTTACAGGCCACCTGGGGAAGCAGCATGCAACTAATTAAAACACAGCAACATGCAATTACTCTACACATTACTGGTGTCCACAGCTAATTACTGGGAAGGAAAGCATGTCAATCCCACTTAAAATGAGTCTTTTATGACCTCGAGCTCTCGTTCTGCTGCAACACCCCAGAAGACAAAATAAAGTAATGTTGTTGGGCTTTTAAGACTAATGACCAATGATTCAGTCATTCTATTATTATTTTGGTTATTTTTAATCAAATGTAACTTTAAATTCTTGTTTGTGGTTTAATCTGTGTTTGTTGTCGTAACATCACAGGTTTGAGCAGATTGCTCCCGGCCTCTGGACTCTTTACAGTTCTAATTAGAAATGAAACAAACAAACAAACAAACAAACAAGAACCATAAAAGTGAAAACCTTGTTACAAAACAAAAAGGGTAAGATTGACCGCAGAGCGTAACAAGACATGTGGCACAGAACAAAGGGAACCTGTGCTGCACACAGAGAGCCCTGATTGGATGATTACTTACAGGTGATGATGACTGGAAGT